GATTGACATTCAACAGAAATAATTCAGACGTGACAATAAAATGACGCATTTCGCACGCACTTCTGTTTTATCCAATCAACGGGAATCTCAACTACATGCCAGTTTTACGCCTGCTTTTATAACAGGTTTTCGTGCTATACAAAGGGATTTTCAATCGAAACATGATGTTCTGTTATTCATTTTTATGAAAGAAAAATGGTTTATCGCCTGCTAGTGATCAAGAAAGACACAGCATACAAGTTAATGACTCATATGCGATAAAACTGGTTAACTTTTCTGTAATCGATAATTACCACACATTGCGTTTAAAACAGACTAAAACTATAAATAAATATGAAATAAAGACACTTACAAAAATTGTGGAGTATGCAACAATGATGGTCCGCCAAACTCTTGGGGATATTTGAATGCTAGGAAGAAGTAAAGATGGCCAACCACTATTCCAGTAAGCTCATTCGCGATGCTAAAATAAAATTATTCATAACAAATGTACAGAATGCGAAAATGCGCTTACTTACCCTCCATGGAGAATCATGTTGAAAACTGCCAGCACCCAGGGAAGATACATGGCTTTAAACTGAGTGCCAAACCAGAACTGAACGACTACGTCTTTGTTCGCTTGGCACCATACGTACAGAACACTAAGTACCATCGGCTCCAAGAGTACGTGCAAATTCACAAACAATGCGATCAACTATGCAAAACAAAGGCAGTACGGGTTATAAATATTGCTCGCACAGGCATCACAAATAACAGCAAAAACCTTTACGTTTAATTACCTGCCGAATCAGTCAAACGGATGTCAGCTTTCTTTTCATTGTAGAAAGAAGGCATATATGAAGCACAAACGATACGGAAAAAGTTGACGGTTTGGCACAAAGAATATGATGATACGTTACTTCATAATATAATGAATGACAGGAAACATAATTTCCGGTCTAGGACTGCCGAGATTATCGTGTTCTGTGCCGTACATGGTGAAATTCAATGATAAAATATTGTCTGCAGTTTTAAAGCTGAAAGTTCGACCATAATGCGATTAACCGATGCTCCATTTCGCTCGCATTTGCACCTCTTCCGTTATCGCTGCAGATATTTCATTGAGTTGTCAGTAAGTTTATGAAGGCTTTATACTGAATAGAATTCTACCATTTTGGTCCAAGAACTGGCTTCTTGCAGCGCATGAAAATTCAGTTCGGCGTCGGTATCGGTCTGACCTCGATTTAAAGAGCAAAAGTGATCGATCAGATCATTCGAATTAACATACCAGTGAGCAGAAGACTGTTAAACTGTGCATGTAAAAACGCATTTGGCATTTTTTGAAAAATGCCTGTTGCATTCCTGTGTTGAACTGAATTACAATGAACTCCATCGAACCAAGTAACCGCCTCCCCTTGAGAAAGAAGGTCAAAAATCGTCATGCCTGTGATGTCGGTTTTTGGGTGTTCAGTGTTAGCTCAGCGATGCGGCAGTCACTGAATATTAACGTTATCCTATTAAATTACCTAATCTTCCTGCTCGTCTTCTACAGTTTCAACACACTCATCAACCATGGGGTCGGTACTTTTGATGCCACTGTAAGTCATCAGTTGTCTAGTGAAACAAACAATATTCAAGTATTAACTTTGTTTTCGTCTAATGCAAGATTTATTCTATGTATTAAATATTATTTTCTTTTGTTTTTGCCTGCTGTTGAGGGAGAGCGGGTATGCTGAAAAGCAGTTTAACTTCTTCTGTAAATGTAGCAACTGATGTTTCTGTTTTTACCCATTTAATTTTTTTACGCGTCGAAAATGAATATCTTATAGATATAGATGTCTTATATACTTGAAAATTAACGCTGTTTATTGAAATGAGCATAAACTATTTGCCAAAGAAATTATCATTTAACTAGCTATATATCAAAAAGTCAATTTCTAAAGCTAACAACGTCCATTTAGTTTACTGCATATAACCAGAGAGAATTCATTAATCAATAAGTCTGAATCGAACAGAAATACGACTCAAACTTTTAACAACCTAAATTAAAGAACCGTGAAATATCTTCAACATTCTTCACAGCAAATGTGGGCAAATGTTAGACTTAAAAAGATACCATTCAAAGTCATTTTCTGACCAGTAACGTTCCGTTTAACCAGTAACGTTAGGTAAAATCTACACTTTTAATGACAGCATGGGAACTGAACGCAGTGAGCAATTAGCACAAATTGCTAATCATACGGCAATACTTTAAGAGGAACTTACTACAATCGCCGCCCAATTGAACAGCAGCATGCACAAGTAGTCTGCTGGCCTTCCGTCGAAAATGCCTAGAAATACCATGCAAGCGTAACGAAAAAATGGCCAAAAACTGTACCTGTCTCTAGTCTTAGCGAATAACTGTATAAGAAATAGATCATTATCAGGTACTGGAAGCCTGTCTGCGGGGTAATTGGGTAGTAGAAAAGAGCCGTAACCGGCCGCCATAACTGAAATTAAAATATTAATTTTTGCAAGCACCTTCTACAGTGACAAAATGATGACGCAGATTCACCACACTGAGTGGTGTACGATGACAAGTCAAGTAGAATCGATAGGCTCCGAGTGCTATGAATCTTTCAATTCAATGACTACAAGCAGTGCGTCGAGAAACGTTATGAATCAACTAAGGATTCGAACAGCGAAACTGTATTTCGTCATGATCAAGGGTCATACTGAATGATGCCGGGCCGGTTATCTTTAAGTACTGTTGAGTTGCGCCTAACTGTAGTTAAGTATACATTATCGTTATTTTTATTCAGAGTACGATTCACTGAATTGGCCTGAACTGCTGCTGATCAACAAGGCGCGGTTGCTATCCGTC